TTTACACAAGATTGGTACGTAAATAGCTCTAATTCCTGCATAACTTAAATTTGTCAAGTATCCAATTTAATTTTCATATCAAAAATAAAAAGAGGGGGAATTGTTTTTAACTATTTTGATTTTACAACATGCAAACTAAATGCCTCAAATGTAAATGGGATAGCCCAAAACAGATGTTGTTAGATGAAAATACTTAACATCATTGTTTCAGTTTACTTCATGCATTTAATAAGATTTTTTTTAATAATCAGATTCAATTTCATAATAACACCATGCCCTTCTCTCAAAAGCTTGGTATAAAGAATGCCTTAGAAGGAAAAACTGCATAACTGAAAGTAAAATTAATAAGGTTAAAAACCGGAACTTAAAAAGAAAGAGAAAAAACTTTCAGTGTAATACTGAAAACCAGCCAAAACTTTTAATAAAGTTCTAGATGCCAAAAGAAAGCTATGGTTTAAGTAGCATTCTGCAGTACTTCACCAGAAGCATTAAAACATTGAAACAACCATCCCTGCAAGTAAAACTGTAAATACTTCATTTTTACTTTTGTTTGGGGATTTAGACGGTTTTACATAACAGATGTTAGACCAAAGCCTCACAAGATACCAGCAGATGAAAGGTAAGTTGTCACTTGGGCAACTGTTTACCTTGAAAATTGTCACCCGATTTTTTGGCCAAGTTTAGAATAGCTAAATTACTTCAGCATGATAAAGACTTCAGGTTACAGCAGACCCCACCACAAATAGCCAACCACTCCCACTCTCTATCAACTGATGTAAGTTGATCAACAGGCACGACTGTAAGCTTCAATGGCAGCAGGCAGATGAGACCGTTAAGCAGCTGTGTATACTCCTGCAGAGGAGGAGCTGGGAAGAAAGACGTAGAAATGAAGACCTCAGTTTTGCAGTGGCACTTTGTGTCAACTCTTGAAAGGAATCCCTTTGACTTTATTCCAACTGTAGACCAACCTGGAAAACTGTTTGTATTTTTTTTATTTTTAAATAAATGAATCTTCCAGCTGCGTGTGTCTGGGTTGATAAGCAGCAAAATCCCTTCTCTAGCCAATGCTACTTTCTTTCAGGTCACTTCCTAGTTTCTTCAGATGCTACTGGAATAGTCAAAAGAAGTATTAAAAAAAAATGCATCCAGCATCTTATAAAATCAACCTAGATAAGATCTGGTAAAATTGCCTTTTTTCAGGAAATAACCAATCCAAAGCTGTGATTCAGTACATTAAGAAATCCGCTGAGACACTATTACAATTAGATTTTGATTAATACTGTTAAGTCTCCTTTGTCTGGACAATGGCTTTAGGGAAAAAAAAAAAAAATCCAGTAACTTCAAAATTTTTTCAAATTGACAAAACTTACAGGATCAGAAACACGAAAACCAAGTTGGTACATTTCAGTACCCTGTATTTTTCCAAAAGGAATGCTACTTTATATGAAATGTTTGAAGAAGAAATCTATAAACATGCTAATAAAAATAAATACCTTTCTTGAACATGTAAGTTGCTAAAGAGTAATGTGAACTGTGCTCGTACTGGCTCTTTTTGTTACACACAATGCAGTATTTTATTACAAACTGCCAACAAAAGGAGTAGACTACTAGAGAGCTTTCTCAGGTTTAACTTCCTCTCGAGACCAGAAGACTGAAGCAGAACACAGCTGAGAAAGATATCTCTTTGCCAGTGTTTAACACGTAGATACTATTTGATATAGCTTTTTGTTTTGAAAAGCAATGCTGAAGAAAGTTTCAGCTATGACCAACCAATACCCTTCCCTTCTTCACCGCAAGACCACACTAAGCACAATGAGGAGGAATATGAGCTCTGATAAACATTCTAAGATAAAACAAGCTCAGCCAAGAGTTTTCAGAACAAATTCAGTGCAATGGAAGTCTCTGCATATGTATGCCTGGTAAAGAGGACATTTTGGTAGAAGCATAATTACTGGATGTTTTTTTAAAGAAAACTGTATATTTACTGGACGAAGCTGTTAGCTTTGTGTTACGGTTGTGATGACTTTCCATTATGTAAACAAAATGTAGGACCTAGGTAAAGACATTTTTTCCTCTCACACACTCCTGAGAACAGTAAAGATGTCCTCTGCTGCTTACCTGGGAAGCGAGGCTTGGAAGAACACCTCTCACACAATGGGCTGTAGCTACCAAAATCTAAAACCTAACCCACAGTTTTCACAGCTACACCACTAACAGAGCAATCTACGTTATCTGGACTTCAGATAATTACCAACCATCTCTGAGCCAAGACTAGGAATATGTTCTTTTTATTTTTGCCTCAGGTAGAAAAGTTTTGCTAAATGAAAACAGAAAATACAGACCGACGGTATTTGTTATGGAAGGAAGTGGATTATCCGGGCTGGGGGGAGAAAATATAGGGAAACCCTTCTTACCTTGCTTCAAAGCTTGTTGGTACTTTGCAGAAAAGAGGAATCAAGTGGCCTCTTACCTTTTGGCTTTAACTTCCCTCATCCTGCTGTCCCTTCCACATACCTTCCTCTTTCTTTTAGTTTAAAACTAAACTGTTTTTCCTCATTTGCAGATCAGAAAAGCAGTATCTTTTTGACTAAAAAAATTTTTTTATAATTTCACTATCTGCTTTTAATTGCATATTTACACTTCAACCTGAAGAAAGGGTGCCATACCATATTGTAAGGGGTTATAAATAAGAAGGGGAGGAACATCACTGAAAAGGATTATCTCAGACAACTTCGATATAGACAAAATACCAGATGCATATGGAAAAGACACTGAAGGTCAATCAAGACAATTCAGTCTGATTCTGTTAGTTAGAAGCAGTTTCACATTGATCGTTACTTTGGAAAAGTGAGTTTCTTGTAACATAAAGGAGGGATCAATTAAATTCTCCCCAAATTTAAGGGATGGCAGTTTTAATACCTTCCAGTCCATTTACTATTCCTGGACAAGTAGGAAAAATGTCACTATAAATCTCCACCCTATCTTTAATATAACCAGGTGTTTATAGCTATTCACTTCAGGCAATAGTTTCTGCTATTCATCTACTGCTTCTGCCTATTTAATCACATTTCATATCTCCCATTTACTCTCTTCCCTTCCCATGTGAAATTCCTCACAGGAAAATACAGTTAAGGAATGCTTGATGGAACTCCCTTGCATTTTATTATGAACCACCATTAAAACACTCTCAAGGACCATCAATAGACAAACTAATACACACAGCAGGCTCAACTTCTTTTTCATGTGTCTTTCCTTTTGGTTCCTCTCTCCTTTTCCTTTCTATCTTTCTTCTCAAGTTTCTGCTATGTTACTCCACAAGCAATAACATTAGCTACATGATCCTATACAAATACAAATCTCAGAAATAAAGAAGTTCTCATCCTCGTATTTCATATTAGCCACAGGGCCCTTTTTCCAAGAGTTAGATTCTGACATCTGAGTTTAGCTGTATTATCATGCACTATACATGCTTTTTGTTACTGATGTCTATGCCCTATGTCCTTATAGGTAACAAGGTGTGATGGAGACAAACCAAGACTTTCTGTGGTCACTGGAAATAGAAAATTTAAGAATCAAGATTACCCAGCAGAGCAAATGCTGTGAGCAGCACACTCATCTGTTTGGTGCTGTTGCCTACAAGCTGATGAAGAGCAGGCTTATCTAGGTCTGGGTAACTTTGCCTTGATAAGTCCATAATATAGAAGTCACTTCCAAAACAAAATGAAATAAGAAACCATCCCAGCTTATTATTTTAAATTCAAATTTTAGATTCTAAAGAGAAAGCAAGCTTCCTGACATAGAATATACCAGTATCAATAACTATATAAGTATTATAATCAGTAGGCTTTGAAACAAACCCACTTCAGCAGCTCCTCTAGGCATTTTTCACTTAACATTGCATTCTTCTCACATGCTTAAATAGGCATACAATACAAAACATTTATGTTTTACTTAAACATTTATGCTTCAGTATCTTGATGAACTAGAGCCTTGGATTACATGATTATAGTAAAACAGCAATTCCCAAACTACTTAGTGCAACAAGTTCCCTCCCAAATTACCTCTACTGCTCACTCTGCCCCTCATATCTAGCCTGGGCACAACCCTGCAATAATGAGATTAAATGGCTTCTGGTACAGCAAAATGTCTTGAACCTCAGTGATCTCTTATTCTTTCTTTTAGGTAGCTACGCCCTGAAATTTGGAATGTACTGTATCAAATTTACCAACAATAAACAGGCATGTTTATTTTTTCTCACATTAAGAAACACCTATTTTAAGAAAATAGCCTTTCTTCTCTGCTTACAGAGATAAAACACACTGTGAAGTTTATCATTAACAATTGTACATTCTGAAACATAATGCAAATAAGTAGTACTGGAAATTCACATATGTTCTTAAGCACAGCCTCCATTTTGATATTTACATGCTTGTTTCACTTCTGCTTACATGAGTTTTGTACATCATAGTTACACTGACATTAAATCAGTAGGAAACAAATTTAACAAAACAGCGGATGAATAATAGCACCTCAGGGGGTCTGAAAATTTTCAGGGGAAAAAAATTGTATCAACAGAAATATTTGGATTTTCCATGAAAATGTCATCTATTCAGCACTGGGAAGAATGGGGTATGCTAATGACACTGCTGCCTCAGAAGAGTGGTAAGTTGATAGTCAGATTTCCCTCTTCTCAATTTAGCATGCAGATCTTCTGCATACTTAGAAGCACCGATTAACATTGTATTAGAAGTGCTGTTAATTAATATGAGCAGTTGAGAGTTACAGGAGCTTATACTAAAAGAAGTGAGGTGAGACTATGTTCTACCATTACAGCAGTTTCTAATGGAACAGTAGTTTCAAATAAAATGTATCATCACTGTTTAACCCACTGTATTTTGTAGGGTTCCGCAGCAAGACAATAATGTTACAATTATCACCATTTAAACCAACCACATGCAATAATAAAAAAGAGTTTTCTGCAAAAAGAGTAAAATAAATACCTGCAGGACTGCCAGCATTTTCTCCTTGATGCAGCTGAATACCAGCAGAATCTATAGAGTTTACTGTAACTGTCTGTAGATTTGGCAATTGAGCAGTGCTTAGACTAACTGGAGTTGATGTCAACGCCCCACCTGCTGCAACTTGACCAAGAGTGAGAGTCTGCACAGGGGTTAGAGTTATTTGTTGACCAGGTGCATTCTGAATTTGCAAGTTCTGCAAGTTCTGAACTCCTTGCACTTGAAATGTCTGCCAGGTTATCTGCCCAGAAGGGGTCACCGTTTGTGCCTGAATTAAAAAAGTTCCAGGATTCAGCTGCAGTTGAAGATTTTGAAGAGCCTGTTGAGATATACTTTGACTTGCTTGCACACCGTGGATTGTCTGTTGCGCAATACCTTGTACAATCTGGGCTTGACTGGTTGGCTGCTGAGACTCTTGAAGCTGTATGTGTTGTACAATTGGCTGTGCTGTGGAGACCTGAATATTCTGAGCCTGCGTGTCATCGGAGACTGATGTCTGGATGTAATTTCCCTGAAGATCAGAACTATGAACTTGACCACTAGTTGTGGTCAAGTTGTTTGCATTTTGTTCCAATATACTTGAACTGTCTATGGTAACGGGCAATTGTGATGAAGATGATGTTGGCACAAATAAGTCATTATCAGTGGCGGTTTCTGTAATTTCAGGAGAAACTTGCTCACCAGTCCTTTCAGAAGTATCTGAACTATCCATGGCCTGTCCAGTATTTATCAAGTGCCCATCTGCATTAATGCCTGCTGTCATGGTTTGAGAACCACTGCCAAGTCCCAGAGAATCTAGATCAACACTATTGATGGGTACAAAAGTAATATTTCCTGGCAGTCCAAGAGGGACGTTAGCAACTACTTGGGCTTGGCCAGGGAAAGACGAACCACCAATTGCAACTCCCTGAACCTGGACTTGACCAGACTGTGATAAGATATTCTGAATATTAGCTGAAGGTGTTCCAGAGGCAATGATGGTTTGATTAGAGCCAGGAATGATCTGAATTTGACCAGTTTCTTGATTTATACTGCTATTATCAGAAGAGGCTGCAAAGCCAAGTTGAACCTGCTGACCATCCGCTGTCTGGATCTGGGGTATTACTTGGTATTGTACGTTAGACACTGTACCATTCGACGAATCTGATCCTGGTGCAACAGAAAAGATTTGTTGATTTTGCAAACTCTGAATAGGAAGGACATACTGCCCACTTGAAGTTACTGTGGCAGCACCTGGAATCTGTACTATATTACCAGCTTCATCCTTTATAGTGGCAGGAGCTGCAGACAAGACCTCCCATCTATTTGGAGTTCCTGTTAATTGCACAGAAGCCAAATCCCCTGTCTGAATAAAAAGAAAAAAGAAAAGACAAAATTAAAACAAGAGACGTACAGACTGTATGCTAGAACAGTCATGCAATTCAACACTAGAGATTGATACACTACTTGAAAACATGCAATACAGCCCATATGAACAACAGCAACTGGATTAGAACTATGAAATACAGGTTTTTTAAGTGAGCTAATGCCTAAGTCAGGGTAACCAACCTGTAGGTCGTGAGCTGCATGTTGCTCGCGAGCAGGTCAAATGCAGCTCCTGTGCCATGGCTACGTCAGGTGACCAGCAGCAGGGTTATTCTGGTGTGGGGGCTGCTGGGTAATCCAAATCCCTGGCTGTGGGAAGAAGGGAGCTGGCAGGGGCTGCTGGAGCTGTCATCACCAGGTTACCCTGGAACTCAGCTACGCTCTTTACCTAGCCCGGCACCTACCACACAGAAGTGGAGGAATCGCTGTGAAGCCAGTGTCATCTGTCTCTCCTGGAGCTCCCCTGCCTTTTGACTCTGTGTTATATATGGTCCAGATGTGCATGCTGTGACCCTCAGCAGTATGGAGAGTGTTAGGAGGTGACTTAGTCACACGGTTGGAAAGATTGGATAGTAAGTTACGCGTAATACAAAGTCCTAGTATTTGTAAGCTTGTATGAGTTACTGTTTCACTAGGGAAGAAGGCCTCTAAACTAAGGACTTTTACACTGAAATCACAGTTGGATTAGTCATATGTATCCGTTGGGGGGGGGGGGGGTAATCTATCTTCATTAAGTTGGAACAATAGAAAAGGCCAATGTTTCAGAACAGACCCCCGGATGCTTAAAGATTAAAGAACCTAAGGACTGATATAGTATGCTTTTGTTTCTTATTCAGTAAAGAAAAGGTAAATTGCACTTACCTTTCTTTACCAAAGCAAGCGTTTTCAGAATAGAGTATTAAGAATTAGATTTAACATCCTGCAATGCTTAGCACAGATTTGTGTAGTCAACCAACTTGGTATTGTAAATAACCATCAATCTAAAATAGATGTAGTTAAGTTTCTACTTATCTGTTTTATGGCACTACAGTAAACCAATGGAATAACTTAATATTTAGCAACAAGTAACTAACTTGTCTTACAACTCATTGAGCTCTGTGAAACAAATTTTGTCTCTTTGGCAGAGTCCACAGGACATAGAAAGAAAAGCTGTAGTTGTCCTTCTGCACTGATCCTGTGATCACTCCTGGTAGGGAAGTTACCGGAGCATATCGCAGCTTCCTTCTGATGCTGCACTCTGACTTCCTTTAGAATAAAACCTGGATATGCAAAATACAGCACACAGCTTACTCTTCTCTAACATGGCATTAGCCAGCTGAATGAATCCTGTGGCATGCATCTGAGCAAATTCAGTCCACAGTGTAGGCTGGGACTTTGCTAGTTTCATTTTCTTATCCTATTCTGAGCTGCGACACTAAAATGTTTACATGTACAAGAAAAATACTCTATTTAAGTCTGAGTACTTATTAAAAAAATAGTTCTACTGTGCTTGGCAAGCTTCATTTCCAATAAGGAAACACACATCTTGGTTCTAAATTCCTCTCAAGAGCTGTACAAATAATAATTGCAAATAAAAAAAGAATGCTAGCCTTCTTTTGCCCTCAAAGATACATATAACCTTTCAGGTAGTTTATTAGTAAATAGATACAGCATCACCAGAACAAAACTAATTTTATGGCCTTAATGCTTGAAGGACCAGAGAGAGAAAAAGGAGTAATGGTAATTCCATTTCATTATTTTCTATTCCTCTTATACTGATTAGCCTTTCATTTAAAAAACATATTTAAATCCTTTAGTCTTTCAAGCTTATAATTTTATCAAGCTTAAAAAAAATTATGCAATATTCCGTATCACACCATCTTATCTAGAAAAAGGCAAAAAATTCCATTTTCCCGTGCTACCACATTAGCTTTATACTCTTGTGTTTAATATTGTTTACACATAGGTACCAGTTGCTGAAATGCTGCTAAGAAAGTTTGTAACTACTCAATTCACTAGTATATAAATACTTACTAACTGAAGGTTTTATAAAGTATCAAAAGACCTATAAAAGTCATAGGTAAACATCAGTCAGAAAACACAAAAAGCAAAAATATAATTTATATGTTTAATGTGTGTCATTATAAAATAAATGTATAATATAATGTGCTGATAGTATCCGTTAGAACAAGAGAGAAAGAAAAAGTAATGGGAACCATTACAAGTCTGATATAATTTCTCACTATTTTAAGACTATGTACAAGCAAATGTTGAATGGTTAGGCTATAACTGCACTGACCTAATACGCAATAGTATGTCCATGTCTACTCATACGTAATACATATGAGTATCCTCCACAGAAATACTTCAAAGGGAACCTGTCTCCTTCGTGATATGGAAATGACCTACGTTACTCTTCTCCTTCCCAAATATATGTTGATTTCCGCATTGCCATTCAATGGCCTTTGCCCTTTTCATGTTGGGCCCACATCTCTCCTCACCTTTTCATGATCTAGTGAAATCTTCCCTCAAATCCCGCTCTGTAGGGTTTTACCTCAACAGAGCCACTCTTTTAGTAGATGCACTTGTCAGCCCATGGAGAAGTTCAGGGTAGCCATACACACAGTACATGAAATGCCTGTTATTCACATGTTGCTCTTAACAGCTGGCTATATCAGACACTACCAGATGAATCATGAGGAGGGAGGGGCAAAAAGAGGGTGAGGCTTTCAAGAAGCTATCTGGCAGCTATCAAAATTACTAGTATTAAAGCATGAAAAAACCCTGTATGGTAAAGAGTATTTCAGGATGACCTCTAACCTCAACTGGTCATCAACATGTCATAACAAGCTTGACTGTTATACCGTTTCTCAAAGTCTGCTGAGCTAGTAGGACATTTCTTGGACTCCTTTTCCTATTAAAAAGAGTAGTAACCTTTCACTGCATCCTCAAGCAATTAAGCATTGTTGTAGTAACTCAAAGTTCTACCACTGATCTATGAGCAGCAACATCTACAGCCCACTTGCTTACTGATCTTTACAGCGCAGTCCTAATAGACCTAATAGAGTTTGTTTGCTGTCTCTCAGCCATCTGTGAAAAATACTTCGAGGGTAGAGATAAAGCAACAGTTCTTTTCCTTATCAACTGATACTCAGACAGCAGTTATTTGGAAGCTGCTCCTTTAAGAGAAGGCTGTACAGTTGCAATCCAAAGGCTCTGTGTCAAGAGGAAGGGACAAAGATCTGAGGAAAGTTCAGCCTTAGCACTACTTAGCCAAGGAGGAGAGAACAGGAAGCAACAGGGAGTTCACTGGAAGCAGTATCAGGAAACAAGAGAAAGAGACAGGAACAGAGCAAAGAGAGTAGCTGGCACAAGGCACGGGAAGAATTAAAATTAAATGATACGTCCACCTGAAGAAAGGTCAAGTACCACCAAAGAGTGGAAGCAACAACCGCTGTTCAGCCTGTCTTTTGATTCTTTAACAAGCCTTGTATAATTTCCAGCGGGTAAAATAAAGAGATCTCTCTCAGCTGAAATTCTCATCCCTGAAGAATGAGGGGTCAAGATAAACAAAAATCTAATAATTGTCTTGTTCAATTTGTTTAGAGAAAATTAAAGCAACATTAAGTCAAATGTGGACGGAGACAAGAGAAACACATACAGAAGATAAAATACCTTTAAAAAGTGAGCTAAACCATGTTGAGGGATGGGACTTGGGTTGAAAAAAACAAACCACCCTTCACCAAAGTAAAATTCGAAAGGGGAGAAACATTCCTTTAAGAATTGGTAGATGTTGTAGGCACCTGCATTTCAACATGTCAAATGTGATCAACTGGACACATGCCATTAGCCATCAGTATTTTATTGCTAAAGAACTACCAAACGTTTATCTATGCCGGTCTATTGTGGACTGCTTTTTGCTGTACTTTTCAGAGAGTCACTTTTGCCCCATTTAGTCCTGGAGCAAAAGCATCAGCAAAACGAGCAGAGGTGGACAGATAGTGAGTCACGAGCTCCTAAACATTTAAAAATCACATACCTAATGAAGAAGATTGGCCACTGCCTCACCCAAATTGTTGTTTTAGGGCTCTAATGCATTAGTTTAATACCATGTGTTTACCAAGCTACAGTAAACTATCTGTGCATTCTTAGGTCATTACAAATATAAGATAAAATGCACTTGCTTCAACTCTTTCATTACGGTATGAGCTAATACATTCTATCTTGTATTTGCCATAGGTTAAAAACATGTTCAAGTGTGGTTCAGCTGACACAAAGCTGCTTGTTAAGGCAAATTAGTTCTATTGCATGTTTCAGCCCCCTGTCAACGAAGCCACAATTCAGAGAAATACATTTGCCCAAATCAAAAGTTTAGAGAATCAAAAACTGTTTCAGGGAAAAAGTATTAACTGGGGCTGCTTAAAATGTTATTTTGAAAGACAATTCCAATCTGGTGAAACATATCTGACATTTAATTGTGTCTCATTTAAGGAACGTCTACATCTTCTTGGACAACTGGACTCAAAACTTCAATAGCTTGTTTTTAATCATCAGAAGTTCAGAACCTGTCTAAATTAAGACAATACAACGTCCCTGACATTAGTAGAAACAAGAAAGCTGCAGTATTAAGGAATGACATGGCAACAAAGAGGCATTTTTAACTAGATTGTATGATTCATTTATTAATTATTAATCTATATATGTGTATTAATTTCTACGTAACTGCATGCCAAACTAGAATTTTGCATAGAAATTTGTGTGAAATGGATCGTTTTCCTCGTGCCTTCAACTCAGGTGCTGGAGGCTCTACCAAACCATCAAGAAAGGCAAGAAAGAGGACCTGGGGCCAGTCAGCCTCAACTTGATCTTTGGGAAGGCAATGGAGCAAATAACCTTGAAAATAACCTTGACCAAAAAAAATAACCTTGGGGGGGGAGGGGGGTGAGAGAAGGTGATCAGAAGCAGTCAGCCTAGACTTAGGAAGGGGAAATGATCCTTAATTAACTAACCTGACAACCTTCTATGATGAGATGACTGGCTTGGTAGATGGGGTTGGGCAGGGGATGTTATTTACCACTACTTCAGTCAGGCTTTTGATTCTGTCCCCCATAACATAAGAAAAAACTTTTTTTTTTTTTTTTTTTTTTACCGTAAGGGTGATCAAACACTGGCACAGGCTGCCCAGAGAGGTTGTGGAGTCTCCATCCTTGCAGATATTCAAAACCTACTTGGACACAGTCCTGAGCAACCTGTTCTCGTTGA